GCTGTTAGTAAACTCATTTTTTTGCGATAAAACTGTAAACAATAGGCTTCACTGAGTACACCGGTATGTTAAAATATATTAAAAAAATTGTAAAACTGATCTATTGAAAAATAAAAGTCTGCTTATTTGTTCGTTATGTTTCTGTTACACCATGTATTGGCATTAGCTTTAAAATATAAAATTATTATTTGGAAATGTCTCACTGATATACAAATGAATATGAAAATTTGGAAAGAATCTTGTGTGGTAAGTAGAAATGTAATTAATTAAAACTAATATTATTATAAATTAGGATGTGAGTTTGTTGTTTGCTACCATTTCACACTTTAACTACTTAACCGATCATCATGAAATTTTGTACACACATTCTCAATGGTACAGAAAAAAAACATAGCGTACCTTTTATCCAGAAAAAAAATACTGTTTAGTTTTATGTGGTTGTCGATAAACTTTGACACGTATTTAGGACATCAACGCGATAAAACTCGTGGGTAAAACCTCTAATGAAATTTTGTACATACATTGTCAGGGATACGAAAAAGGACATAAGGTACCTTTTATCTAGAAAGAAATACTGTTTCCCAAAGGATAGAAAAAATAGGCTTATGTAGTCGTCGATGATCTTTGACCCGTATTTAGGACATCAACGCGATAAAAGTCGTGGGTAAAACCTCTCATGAAATTTTGTACATACATTGTCGGGGGTACAAAAAAAGGACATAAGGTACCTTTTATCAAAAAAAAATACTGTTCCCGAGGGATAGAAAAATCAGTTGTATGTAGTCGTTGACACGTATTTAGGACATCAATGCGAGGGAAGCTGCGGGTAAATCCTAGTTTACTTATAAAACCAATTGGGAAGTAGTGTTATATATCACTAGCCAATCTATCAGCGATACAATTGTTAATAGGATATGTTTGATAAAAAATACTTTTAATTTGGCAAGCAGATGGGTTAAGGATTATTTTACTTCATATTCTGTTCTATTAGATAAACATATTAAAAATTCTATATTTTATGTAAGTACTTATATGAAAAAAGAATTGGAAAGGATCAATTACATGCTGCACGCGTGCGCGACTAGACGCACCATAAGAATGTAATACAATTTTTGCGTGAAAAAGTTCTTGCAGATGGATATTTCGCGTGTATCTTGTAGATGTACATGGCCATGAGTGATATCAAATGAAAGGTACATTTGTCCAGAGTTTGCAGAAAGTTCAAAAACATCAAAAAGTTCATCATGGTTCTGTCCAATTGACTAATAATACAAGGATGTTATGAGCAAAATTATTGAGCGACATCGGGAAGCTTTAATTTTATTTTTATTTTATTGAAGGTTGTGTTGTTACTTTGGTGTAACTGTAAGCCCTTTCTTCGTATTTACATTAGTTATTTCAAACTTTTGAACTATTTAAATCATTCATTTAATAGATAACAATCACACCGTTTCCAAAAATAATTTAAAGCTGTTGCACCATTGGTTTCAACTGTACTTTTCCTTATAAAAATAGTTATTTTGGTTGTATTAAAAATATTAAACATCTTTTTTACAATAGTTTTTTTCATTTATCATTACGTCCTTCCTAATGTTAATTCTTTCCGTCAAAAAGTTTCATTTTCCACCCAAATACTTCTCTGTTAAGCGTTACAAGATTAAAAAATTTCCTTTTTTGTGAAATTAGGTTTTCAACTGACTACACACACGTCTTTAAATTTACGTTAATAATTATTATAAGCTATTTAAATAAACATCTTAATAGTTAACGCAATTTTTGCATGCTAATTACTCATTTTTTACATAATTCTGGAATGCTTTACTATACTATATAAGTGTATAAATGTAGATACGTGGATGGCACCGCTTATGTAACCAATTTCCATTTCTTTCCATAGTCAACATTATACATATAAATAAGTATTGTACCTACTCTTTATGTACCAAGTTAAGTAGCATTGGGAAGGGGTAATCTCGAGGCCAACAGTTATATGTTGTCCACTTGTTATTATATATAGTATTCAGGTAAGCAAAAGTTACAATGATAAACATTGATTTTTTAACAACCGATCTTCATTTGTTGACGATTTATTAATTACCTAGGTGCGAAACGATACATAGAACTGTATAGGCGTTAGTGAAAGTGAAATGTGATAGGGAGTGAAAGCAGAAATTTACCATTGACAAGAATTACCATTTTAAGACAACTTTTTGCCGGCCTTTTTCCAAGTCTACGTGATGGATGATATTTGTGTCAAGGAAAAATTAACTAATTGTGAATAAAAAAAAAATTAAACCTGATTGAACTTAAAATAAACATTCGAAAAAAAATAGTTTTCTAAGCAAACAAGTGCCACAGTTATGTCCATAAAGGACTATTAAATCCTTATAAAGGATCGTTGGAGATAAAGACGAAGTTTTATTTATAAACTTGTGCCATATTCCTTTTGATAGTGCATCACTAAAAGTGCTCTGTGATTAATTTATTAATTTGGTTTCTATTGTTTTGGATTATTTCCGATATATGGTGTAATTTTTCCTTAAAAGGATAAGGTAAGTCATCAAAAAGCTTTGTGTACACACATTGTTTCATTACCACCTACCAATGCCTACCTACAAGCAAATGTAACAATGTGAATACATAATTAAGTCTATTTTAGGTACTTACATGTGTACATATATGTTTGCATGTAAAAATATCTAATGCGTCACTTTTTGTTATTAAAGACGAATATTCTTTAAAATACAAATAATACTTTTAAAACAATTTTTAAAACGTTTACAAAAACTTTATTTGCAAATTATAACAATAAAAATTGTTAACAACAACTGGTGATAAAAACGGGGAAAAAACGACCCTTTAACTATTTTTAATTTTCCAATGAAAAGGGGGAAAGCCCTCGGAAAAAGTTACTTTGTTAATAGCATTTTATAGTCCTGTAGGAAAGTCATTTAAGCTCAATTCAATTAAGTTACGTTAATGATTCTAAAAATTAATTAATTTGTTTTAATTTTAATTATAAAAGTACTAAATTTTAAAAATCTCCTACTTACACTGCTTAAAGTACAAAAAATTCACTGACATTTCATATTAAGCAAAATTGAGAGACGTACTCATTATTTTTATTCTTTTTATTCAAAGCGTAATTATTAATAATTAATTAAATACTGATATTACGTATCTGATAGATAAAGAAAAGCAGAAAGCAAAAACATATCTTAAAATTATTTACAATTATTTCCGATTGTCGTAACTGTATTAAGGAAGAAAATTTGAGCTGTTAATTTGTTCATGAAATGTTACGTAATTTTCAGTGACAATTTCATTAAATATTCTTTATAGAGGTCTTTCCAAGTAAGAACGTAAGAAAATTACGTATTAATAAATAAATAAAACAACCAAAGATAAGGAACAAAATAAACTACAAAATGGACAGTGGTTCACCAGCGGATTTCACGAAAATTTCCCACAGTGGCCTACTGGCTCGTAGTTTAGAGGGTCATGCGGCCCACGGGATGTCTATTAAAGGAAACGAAGACGTTTGGGTGGAAATTCAGGCAAACACATTCCGCAACTGGGTTAATGAATATTTACCTCGTGAATTAAGGGTGACCGATTTGTCACGTGACCTATGCTCTGGGGTATGCTTATGCGCCCTTGTCGAAGCCCTTCAGGAACGTCCTATAAAACCCGCGTGGAACAAAAAGCCAGCTAACCAACACCATTATTTGGAAAATGTCACAGCTGCTCTTAATGCAATCGAAAATGACGGGGTTAAATTGGTTAATATTGGTAAGTGTGTACGTAATATACTGCCTAATGGTCTACTACCCCTATTTCGACGCAATTTTATTTACTGTCATGTAAAATTAACCCGTAAAGTGAATACTTCCTTGGAGACTTCAACGCTCGGTCAAGACACGAACCTTTTGTTAAGTTTAAAAAAATGCCTCAAAATATGGCATTTTCAATGCGAATTAATATCATTAAAAAAACATAACAAAAAGCACATCTTTTGGAGATAAGGAAGGAAAATTAATGTTTTACAATTTGTAAAAGAGAGACCGTTCAAATAAGATATCTTTCCTTTTAACTTTTTTTATTCTCTAAGTTTGCAATAAGAAAAAATTATGTAAGCTTGTTTTTAAAAAGTCTTTAAAATAATAATATGTCATGTTCTGTAATACTTATTAACCATTGTTATCGAAAAGCAAACTCTTTTAAATAGGTATTGTTTCCAAAAAAGTATTTATGTAAAGCTTAGAAGATCTCAAAAACCAGAAAATGAAACTTATTATACATTTTCCTTATCGAATTACATAATAACAAATATTTGTCTGGAGTAGGAACTCTCAACAAAAAATCATGCTAATTAAAGAGACAACATTCTGTAAATTAAAAAATATCGCGCAGAAACCAAAAGGAATGTTTCACTATTCACTTTATTTATCATAATGAGAAATAAATATATACCTATAATTGTATTTATGTATGTTATAAGGTTTTTAAAAGGAATTAACCCTCGAATATTATTAATGTTGAAGGAGTTAAATGCTTTGCATAAAATATCAGATCCAAAAAAGGATTGTAAATGATTTTATTGATGTAAAACTAACCACCGAGACGTTTCGTCTCTAGTTAGGAGTTGTATAAATAATTATTACATCATAGATCTAAAAATCTGTAGGTATATACATGTTTATTTTTCGCACATTCTTTATAGGAAATGTGGATATAGTTAATGGGAATTTAAAATTAATTTTGGGTTTAATTTGGTCACTGATTGTTCGTTATCAAATTGGACGTTCCAAATTCCCTCCAAGGAAATTGATGTTAGCATGGCTACAAGCTGTGTTACCAGAATGCAAAGTTTCCAATTTAACTACAGATTGGAACTCTGGAATTTTATTATCAGCTCTAATAGATTACTGTAAACCGGGACTCTTTCCGCACTGGAGAAAATTAGGTAAAAAATTAATTCTGTACATTGTTACCTTATGTATTCAGTGAAGTGTTTTTTCATTTTTAGATAAAAATAACGGAATCGAGAATTGTAGAAGGGCTATGGACATAGCACAGAAACAATTAAAAATCCCAGCAGTTTTGGAGCCCGAATATTTAGCATCACCTTGGCTAGATGAACTATCAGGAATGACCTATTTATCGTATTTCATGAAACCAGGATCTCCTGGATTTTACGCGACACTACGATGGGTTAATTCAAGATTAGAAAGATCAGTACAGAATTTTACGGTTAGTACCATATGGGTATTAAGCACCACAACTCACTAAGCAGTCTTTTTCAATAAACGTAGAATTCCGAAACCAATCATTTTATATACATGGTACATATTCCTGTGACCTACAGAGACACCACTTACCATTTATTGTTAAGTACAGTGGAACTTGGTTATAACAACATCTGTTATAACGACAAATCTGATGTAACGTTGGTTTTTAAGTCCCGAAAATTTACCATTTAAAACAACGCTAAAAACCTCAGTAAAAAAGACATTAAACTCGTATATAACATCACATTTTTATTGCTACAAATCCTTGAAATTGTCGTATTATTGGTGGTAATTTAGCTTGTCAAAAGATCCATGGGGTGACGTTATAACCGAGTTCTATTCTACTTGGTTTACTTATAAAAGTTTTGGGGGTTGTGTAACCCAATAAAAAGAAAAGTTTCTGAAATATAAAAAATTTTTCATTTAATAGTCTGATTGGAATGACGGCAAAGTGTTGAGTGAAATTATCAGGTCACTGGGTGGATCAGCTCCGTCTCCTGAAAAATTAAAGTCTGATCCTTACTATTGGGTGTCCAATTTGACTCAAGCGGTAGAAGCGGGTAAAAGACTAGGTATTTTTCAAGAAAACTACCATGCCACTAGAATTACATTTTCCCTTTGTAATAATTTAAGGTGTTGAACCAATATTGTCGGCCAAGGATATGGCTGACAGGAATGTGGAACATTTGGGGGTAATGGCGTATGCCGCACATTTCCAATGGGTACCCGAACGACCCCCTTTGCATGACCTCATCAATGTCAGACTTGAATCGACTTCGGGAAGAGTGGAAGAACCAGTACGTTCATAATTTTTGTTCTTAGGGACAAAATTCCCATTTAACACGTAACTTCATTCCAGACTCATTTTCAAATTAAACTTCTGGATTCTTCACTTTCAATGAAGCATGTGTCGGTAGAGATAAGAGGTCCAGATAATAAAGTCTATTTGGTTCGAGATCTAAAGAACGGTCACGGAACGTTCATTCCTCAGAAAGTTGGAATGCACGAACTGGTTGTATTTTATGAGGGTCAAGAGGTCATTTCGGGGCACTATTTTAGAGTTTTGCCTCCTTTGGTTGAAGTCGCACCACCTGGAATGGCTCCATGTGCTCTTGGATCGTTGGTGCAAGTTCTTGTAAACGCAACAGGTATTTTGTTAAAACTAATCAACAGGGCCTTCAAAAAAACTAATCTGAATTGCAGAATTCTAAAAGGGTTTAATGTAAATAGTTGAAATTGTTCTTTCATTATGAGTAATTACCACTAAGAATGAGCAAAAAGCATCGTTTCTAATGTTAATATTTCATTGAAGAGTCAAGACCAAACCTCTTACTAAGTTTAGAAATTATACTTGAAATTATGACATTTTTAATGTGAATGATATCCTTAAAAATCTGTGAAAGGAAAATACATCTTTTTGTTTACGCAATTGAATCATAAAGTCAAAGCTTCACTGGAGACTTCAACGTTCGATCAAGACACAAACCTTTTTATTTCAATTTTCTGTTTCTATATATGAATCACTGTCGATTAATTAACAAAAAACAATTGACAGTAAAGCATTTACGTAGTTTTTTACTTAGAATATACGAAGTGGTCAAGGTTGGTTACCACATTGAATCTTAAAACAGCTACGTCCTGTACATTTGTTCGTGCTACTCTTGTTGGACGTTATGTATAACATCAAAAAAGGAATAAATTTTTTTGTTGTAGTTACCCTTAATTGTAATGATTTTCCAGGTGCTCCAAGAAGGGAAGACATTCAAGTAATCGCCTACAGTCCACATGGAAGACCACTGGAATGTCCTTTGACCACCGTGGATGGTACAAATAGTGCAACATTCAAGCCAGACGAAGCTGGTGAATGGCAGATAGAAATCACTTATCAGGGAAAACAGATACAGGTAATAAAATAATTGATTGATATTTTACTTTGATACAAATTATGATCACGTTTTTACCAATTTGTTTAAACATTTTCTTCTTCCTTTTCATTATTTTGTAAAGAACTGCAGTTTTTATTTGCCTGTTATTATTTAAATTATCTTTATTTTTCGATTATGCACTTTATTTTTCGTTTATGCAAGTCCTTTTTAGAATTTTCCAAAAAAGTGTTTTTGAATAGGTATTTTCGTTTATGTAAGTCCTTTTTAGAATCATCATCATCATCATAAAGTCATCAGTCCTAAGACTGGTTGGACACGTACCTCCACTCTTTCCTATCCTGAGCTAAACTTCGCATTTCCCTAAAACTAGAACAGCCCACATC